TCACCATGTTGACCAGGATGGTCTCGATCTCTTGACCTCGTGATCCACCCACCTCAGCCTCCCAAAGTGCTGGGATTATAGGCGTGAGCCACCGCAGCCGGCCAAGCTTTTTAACCTTAATTGTTTTGTCCTGAGGGGTTCACCTAAAATTTGATGTTAGTAAACTAGAACCTACTGAGCACAATATAAACTCTACACACTGAAGCAAATGATTGTCCTCGTCAAAGATGTACGCAATTGGTATTCAAATAATGTAGCTTTACTAGACTCTTTTCTTTTTTAAATTTAACTTTAATTTTTGCTAAAATAATGTTTGTGTTTGGAATATAAAATAATTCTATCAGGCTTATTAAAAAAACTACAGTCTGCCCTATCCTTTTCATAGGGAGCCAGACTGAATTTTAAAAGGCATATCTTCCAAAATTTCTCTCTCCATTTCTTAAAAAACATGCTTATACTACCATTTTCAGTGTTTTTGTTTTTGTTTTGAGACGGAGTGTTGCTCTGTCGCCCAGGTGGAGTGCGGTGGCGCGATCTCGGCTCACAGCAATCTCTGCCTCCCAGGTTCGAGCGATTCTCGTGCTTCAGCCTTCTAAGTAGCTGAGATTACAGATGCCTGCCACCACGCCTGGCTAATTTTTATATTTTCAGTAGAGACGGGGTTTCGCCATGTTGTTCAGGCTGGTCCCGAACTCCTGACCTCTGGTGATCTGGCCAAAGTGCTGGGACCACAGGCGTGAGACACCTTGCCCTTTTATTTTCAGTTTTAGATCGTTATCTTTTGACTTACACTCTCTTTCCTCTTTGCAACACCCGTCCTATAGCCCTCTGTTCCACTCCAAGCCACCTGGATGCTCTCTAGGCCTGCTTACAGATTCCACTCTGTTCAGGAAGGAGGACCGCACGTTTACCGGATTATTCTTCCTGAATATTCTTCTCCCCAGAGACCAGTAACTGCCCACAATTTTGTTAGGAAGCCCCACAGCACCTAAGGCGTACGGATGTCCCCAAAGGGTAGACGATTCTCTCCCTACTCACGTCTCCACTAGTGCAAGGCTGGCTTTCTTACCATTAGAGAAATACAGAAATGACATCTTCTGCAGGCCAACGTCTAAACAGCCAGGAGTGGGTGTTTTTCCACCCAACCGCAGTGCACGGAAAGCACCTAAGCCGACTTTGAGGGCGGGCGGAGCCTGGCGCTGCAGGAAGAGGCGACAGCCACAGCCCTACTGACGAGCCCGAGGGGTGAACTCCCCGACTGGAGGCCCGAATCAGGAAATACCGGGAAACGGAGGTGGGGGCCGGCCGGGGGCGCGGTCCACCGGTTCCCACCGCTGCGTGCGGGGATCCCCAGGTCCCGACCGGCGCTGGCGGAGCAGTTTCCACAGCAACAGGCCCGGCGCGCGTCCCCGCGCGTGCGCAGCTCCTCGCCCGCCCCGGGAGGGCGGAGAGGGGAACGGAGGGGCGGGAACGGACGCCTCACGCTGCGCGGGATCGTTTGGGGCCCGGGGCTGCAGGCAGCGAAGATGCGCGGGCGCTAGGCGCGCGCACCCAGCACTGGGTCCCGGCCGCGAAATCCGCGGTAGCGCGCTGTAGGAGCGGCGGGCGGCCAGTGCACGCCACTTGCTGTGTCCACAGCTGGCTCCACGCGCCCCACTCGGGCGTCCGGCGTCCTGGCGGCTTGGGTGGCGGCGGTTCGGGCAGTCGCCTGGCTGCTCCTCGGGGCGGCGACCTGGCTCACGCGCGGGCCCGCCGCGGCCTTCACTGCCGCAAGCTCTGACGCCGGTAAGGGGGGCCGGGCTGCGGAGTGCGGGCGGGGCTCGAGGGCCAGAGCGTGGTGAGCGGTCCCGGCTCCCCTGCCTCTTCGCGGGTTGCTGGGACGTGGGGACCCGGCACGGGACCTAGATCGATAGGGCGAGCCAGAGGAGGTCAAACAGCAGAGCCACTTGCCCTCCTCCGTCCCCCTGCCCTCCAGTGCGCTTTGCTCTGCGGCGGATCCCGGGTCTCCGGAGAGTCGGGCTCGGGCTCTGCGGTTCCCAGGCTGGACTGGCCGCCCTGTTGCTAGAGTACTGAGAAGGAAGGTCAGCCGTCAAGCGTCTTGGCATGCTCTTGGATTGCACGAAGCTTCTGATCACCAAGGGGCCCGCAAGGCCTTAGTGCTCTGTGAGGCACGAGAGTCCCCAAATTGAGTATAGGGACTCCGTGGCAAACTGCTAGTTGTTCGTGCACGAGTAGTTGGCAAACTGCTTGTACTACTGCTGGACAAGTGCAGGAGTAATTACAATAAAGCAATACGGTTTGACGGGGGAAGGAAAGCACAAACCTGGGAAGTTTCTCCATCTGTAAAATGAGGATGTTTCTGTCATCCTTCGTACCATTTAGATCCATTTATTATCTGTCAATCAGCGAAGCTCTGCTTTTGTGTGTTTACATATTGGGTTTCCAAGTTTATCTAAAGAAAGGATTATGAGGCCAAGAAGAATTTTTAAACAGTTGGATTTGGTGATCTCTAGAGGCTTCCAACATTGGCATTTTATAATTAAAAAGGGGTCAAAATTAGCCGGGCATGATTGCGTGTGCTTACTCGGGAGGCTAAGGCTGGAGAATCGCTTGAACTCGGGAGGCAGAAGTTGCAATGAGCCTAGATCACGCCATTGCACTCCAGTCTGGGTGACAGAGTGAGACTCCGTCTCAAAAAAAAAAATTACAAAGGAGTCAATTTCCAAAGCCAGCTCACCACAACCAAAGTAATATTTAAGAGGAAAAATGTTGAAGGTAAATTCACGTCCAACAAATTCGTTTTCAAAATGGTACTTTTGCCTTTAAAGTCATAATAATAGTTTTGCTATACTGTTTGTAAATTAGCCTTTCTCCAATCCCAATGGTCAACTGCTGTCTAGTGTACATACCCATAGAATTTAAGCCTGTTAATCATTTTTCTTCTAATTTAATTTATAGGTAGATATTAGCCCTCATTTCCCACCCTACCCCCGTTAAAATTAAACACGATGAAGAAAAATCTGGATTTGTGCTGGGCACAGTGGCTCACACCTGTAATTCTTTTTTTTTTTTTTTTCCTGAGACAGAGTTTCGCTCTTGTTGCTCAGGCTGGAGTGCAATTCGTGATCTCTGCTCACTGCAACCTCCGCCTCCCAGGTTCAAGCAATTCTGCTTCAGCCTCTGGAGTAGCTGGGATTATAGGCGCATGCCACCATGGCTGGTTAATTTTTTGTGTTTTTAGTAGAGACGGGGTTTCTCCATGTTGGTTGGGCTGGTATCAAACTCCGGACTTCAGGTGATCCGCCCGCCTCAACTTCCCAAAGTGCCGGTGTTATAGGCACAAGCCACTGCGCCCAGTCGCATACCTGTAATTCTAACACTTCGGGAGGCTCTGGTGGGAGGATTGCTTGAGACCAAGAGTACGAGACCAGCCTGGAAAACAGCAAGACCCTGTCTCTACAGAAAAATTTAAAAGTAGCCATATGTGGTGGCATGGGCCTGTAGTCCTAGCTACTTGGGAGGCTGATGCAAGAGGATTGCTAAGTTGAAGGCTGCAGTGAGCTGCGATCATGCCACTGCACTCAGCTTGGGTGACAGAGTAAGGC